GCAATTCAGGCGGCCGTGTTAAAGTATAGCTCATTAAAGGGGCGTGGCTAAATAGGTCGATGAAGAGGTAGACAATAGTTGATTCTTAATCATTAATCATACTCATGGTTTAGAACCGCCCTTTTCATACTACTCACTATCTATTTGAAATATAATAATAAGATAATAATATAATAATAAGAAGAAAATCAAATTCTATTTTTTTTAGTTCTCACAGTGATGAGACTTAATATAAAAAACTACTCATACTACCAATACCACTCATATTATTTTGGAAATTTGTTTAACAATAGATAACGAATATACGATCGTACTTACCGTGTGCCTAAAATGTCAACGGCACAATATTATGAAAATTGTACTTTTTAAAACATCGTATACGCGGTCACAGTTTATTGTTATTATCTTAACGGTATCGCGTAGGCAGGTGTTACAGATCATTCCAAATTACTCGTCGAATAAACAATACAATATTATAATAGACAGGGGTTTTTTTTTTGTCACAGCATACTATTTGCCCCCTTCACCGATTTTATTTAAAGTGTTTATGGCAAAAATTACAACTGTATGGGTTGATAATATCTTTTCCTCGTAAATAGATAGAGTGTTACTCTAAATATATTTTTTTATTTTTGTTTGGTAATTTAATGCATGGCTTTGAATAGACCATCACTAAATTTGACTTACATACAATTTTGAATCTTTTAGTTTATTAAAAGAAAAAGAAAAATATTAAATATTTTCAACCACATTATATACAAAAAATTACAGATAAAAAATTTAAATGCATAACATTTTCACATTTTAATTTATTCAAATAAAATAAGAATAGAAAATATTTGTGATTACAATTGTGATTTTTTATCGGAAAGCTTGTTATTTTGTATAAAGTGTAGCACTTTTTCTTTAAAGTAATTTTATCTGGTTAGTGCATCGAAGAGATCATTGTTTTGATTTTCCAAGTGGTTTCAAAATAATTGGGAAATCCCTGAAATAAAATTATTGGTGAAAAGCCAAATATTTACGGCACATTACGGCGTTATTGATTTTATTACTTTTAACTTGGTAACAATACTTACGTTGGACTTACCTAAACGTGGTAAAATTTCTGAAATCATCAGACGAAATTTTTTTCCTTTTTTGAATAAGCATTTTGAAATGAAAATTTAAACGAAAATCGCAAAAAAAATTACAACACTTCAAATTATGTATTGCCGTGCGCCACAGCTGCTAACAGTCCCTATCCTAGGATTTTCGGTAATGGACTCGTCCGTTTCGGTAACCACACCGCCACCGTCTTGAATTTGGTTGCCGTGCGCTGAGATGCAGAGGGTTCTTTACCCTCGGATCTTCGATAATGGACTTGCCCGTTTTCAACACTACCTTCGTAAAGTAACACAAGGTTTCGTATAATATATATAATATATTTATTCAATTCAAAAACGGGAAAATGTCGGGTAAATCATTAAAATATTACGGGTATACATTAAATTACTTATAACAGTAACTAAAAAAAATAAAAGACAGACGTGTGTGATCGCAATACACGAGCAAACAACAAACACCAGTTTCCAGAAAAATATTGAAATAATTAAATATTATGTGTGTGTTTCAAACAATTATTATTATCTGTTATTGTCTTATTATCATCATCGGACCACGCTACAATATATACGACCCGACGACCGCACAGGGAAATCCAAATATTAAATACGCTGTTGGTGTATAAATAAACGTAATTATGATAAAAATAAATAAGTATATACATGTAAGTAAGTACAATAGTATTGCCAAAAAACATTACACAGCTAATATATTTTGTAGCCTTGATGAATTTCAGGGAAAATTTAAAAAATATTTAAAACTACAATTTTGGATAAAATGTAAAAAATGAAAGTAATCTCTATGAGGGAAAATAGTTACTGTTATAATTAATTTAATGTGTACCCGTAATATTTTAATGATTTACCCGACATTTTCCCGTTTTTAAATTGAATAAAAATATTATATATATTATACGACACCTTGTGTTACGCAGGTAGTGTTGAAAACGGGCAAGTCCATTATCGAAAATCCATACCGCCACCGTCTCGAGCTAACCCCTCGAAGTTAGTTGCCGTACGCTGAGCTGCAGAGGGTTCTTTACCCTCGGATTTTCGATAATGGACTTACCCGTTTTCAACACTACCTTCGTAACACAAGGTTTCGTATAATATATATAATATATCGCAATACACGAGCAAACAACAGACACCAGTTTCCAGATAAAATATTCCCAATACTTTACCCCAGCAAAGTAATCTTCCTAAGTTCAATAGAAGTTATCAATACTCTAGTGATTTAGAGTTTTAACTATAAACATTTTTTACCTTTATTATTTTTATTTTTAATTGTAGAATTACAAATCCTACATTTTTCTATTTTTTTTAAGGAACTTATCTAAAGCAGATTTGATTCTAAATTAACAATAATTTCAAATTCCAATTGAATGTATTGATTAAGGCTACTATAGTTTATCTTATATACACCAACTCTAAGTTGTTATCATAATTAATATACTCCGACTAAATGTATAGCTAAAATATAATTGATTTCTAACAGGCATTTAGAATATCATTGAAAGGATTATACAATGATGCAGAAATGTATACATATTTCTTTTTTCATTTTACACAGTGTTTATGGCAAAAATTACAACTGTATGAGTTAATAATATCTTTTCCACATAAATAGATAGAGTGTTACTCTAAATATATTTTTTTATTTCTGTTTAGTAATATAGTGCATGGCTTTGAATAGACCATCACTAAATTTGACTAACATACAATTTTTAATCTTTTAGTTTATTAAAAGAAAAAGAAAAATATTAAATATTTTCAACCACAATATATACAAAAAAATTACAGATAAAAAATTTAAATGCATAACATTTCCACATTTTAATTTATTCAAATAAAATAAGAATAGAAAATGTTTGTGATTACAATAAAAATTAATAAAATATTTATCATAAATACAAAGTAAATACAATTTTTTATTTTTTGTTAGTATTTGACTATATTTATTAAAAAATTTAAAAAATTTTAGAATTTACTTAATCTATTGCATAATGCACAGTATTAGTGTAAATTTAAATTCACTCAGCAATCAAATAAATAAAGCCATAACTCATTTAAAGCACAAAGATAATGCCAGTTTCTTGCCAAAACTAACTAACCTTTAAGCAGTCACGTGGCGGCTAGTTGACACCATCAAATATAAAACATATGTTACAAACATTTTAATAATGGTATAATATAGTTTTGTATTCATTTTTTTTTACTATTAAGATTGTATCCATATTTATTTATAATATGGTAACCAATATTGTCTTTGAAAAAATTTAACTTTCATTATATATTTTACACATTTTACAAATGAGGTGGGACTATGAACGTTACAAAAAAGAAAGACCGCAAAAAGTTTATTATTCAGAATGACTTCAAAGTTTTTGAAAATTATCAATTACTTGCTAAATAACATAATAGAATATCATTATTTTAATTACGACAAACTGATTAATGTTAAAATAATGTACTTAACAACTAATAATTAAACACTATCCAAAATGCACGGCTAATGTTAAAGTCATCCAAATGTTTACATATCTTTGTAACATGAATCATTTTTTTTTATTGTATTAATAGTAGTCACGCGCGGACAGCCAAGCTGAATGCACACGTTTTTATTCCTCCGTGTTATGTTTAAAGTAGTGTCGTTTAAATTTGTCGGAAATTTTCGTACTTTATATCATTCGACGCAAATTTTAGAGAAGCTGTTGACCTCAGTGTCTAACAGCTGCAAAAATCAACCTTCATTTGTGGAAATTGATTTAAGTTTACTATATACATGCATGGTTATATAATATACCAATCTCACTACAAGGCATCGCCGCAGAGGTAACCTTAGTCCACGCGATTACGACAATATTAGATATTAATATTATAATCTAAGTACTTGACTTTAATTAATCGATTTCGTAATCCGTAAAAACTTATCTATCAACACAGTAAACATTTAAATATGGATAACCGTGATCAAAATAATATAAATAATAATAACAAGACAAAAAATACTAATGTAATTAAATCCAAGCCACCGCAGAAATCTGCCAATAATGATAATAAACGTAATCACTCAAGCTCGTCCAATTCAGAACCATCGTCACCAAAATTACTTCAACATGTAAGCAAAAAATTATTCGTGACTCGAAATCGGTTTGAATCAGTGGCGGAACTACAATCTTTGAGGCCCGTGGGTAAAATTTTTATTGGCCCTAATGAATAGTTATATAGTACTTATATTGGAAATTTTTTTTTTACATAATAAATTGTTAACTTGTAATATGCGAAAAAAGGATATTAATTTATTAAGTAAACAATAAGTCAATAAATATAATATAATTTACAAATTAAAATAAAAATAATTTTTTTCTGCTACGATCTTGTGCAAATGACTTTATCAATGCTGACATGTTCAACTTTTTGGCGCGTTCATTTTCAATTGATATCATTGCGAGACCACTCAAACGTGTTTGAGACATAGTATTTCTAAGGTAGCTTTTAATTAATTTGAGCTTTGAAAATGACCTTTTTGCACTGGCTACTGTTACTGGTAATGTAAGAAATAAATAAAATTTTGTTAATAGATCTGGAAAACTAGTAATTAGATTATAATTCTCAATAACCTATAATTTAGTCATATCAAAAACACTATTACAGGATTCAAGCTCAGAAGAAAACAGAATATTAAATGATTCAATTTGCCTTGCTAGCTCAGCTGGATTAAAATCTTCAAATTCATCCGCCAACTTTTTTGCACCAATAATAATGTCATCATCAGATATTACACCACGTCGCAAAATACAGCTGAATAAATCATTTATTTCATTAAGACCAACATATCGTGTTCGCAATTATGTAACAACAGTATCAATACACCTATATAACACCTGTGTTTTAAAATATTGACATCCTTGTGAAAGTCGTTGATCTTGACAAAGCTCATCATAAAAACGTTTTACTTCTATTGTTCGTTTATTTGAAAATTGAGGTGTCACATTCCATTTTAATGCTTTATCGTTAGCTTCTTCAATTAAAATATCAATATTCATACGAATTGCTTCTATAATTTGCAATGTACTTTTTATCAAATCTGCAGCCTTTCCAGTATCAGCTCCAGGAGACTGCAATATTTTTGATGCAATATTTATTTTTGATAATATTTTATGCATCAATAATATCAAAATAACTGTTTCATAACTCTCAAAATATGTTTTAAGTGTGGTAGCGTCATTTTGTTCATATTTGGTTTGGCCAGTTAATATAATGTTATTATATTAACATTATATTGTTAAAACCACCCGGTCTAGGTGTTGTAAAGACCATCCGGTCTAGGTGTAATAAAACGTAGTTATTAGTATTCTATTTGTATTCAGAAGAGCTCAGTTACATTTTATACATTATCAGTTGTGTCATAAATAATTAATTAATAGTAGAGTATAAGGAAAAGAAGCACAGATATAAACTTATAATAGTAATTGTCTTAATTAAAGGCTCGTTTTCGGTATATAGAGAGCACGTGAGGGACACTAGTCAACCAGTCGTAACCAAATGTTAGACAAGTACTTATGTATATGTCATGTCTGTGCGAATAATAAACTTTAAGTCTAGAACAATTGTGTTTATTTTCTTAAATTAAAATCCAAATCCTTAAAACTCGTTCTGAGTCTACTTGGCTCATAACTATGTCTGAGTACATATGATTCAGTGATACTAAACAATCGATTCTAGAAGACCATCGAGTAGGACACAATCTCTTAAGAGATCTGGTAATTTCACAACTTTCTTTTTTAATTTTGCCCATCGAAGTATACTATTACCAAAAAATGTATGTAAGAGTTTCTAGCATGCCACAAAATTTCCGAATTTCCTTAATATCTTTATTATCTCTTTATTATTATTATTATCTCACAGTCATTTACTATTAAATTTAAATTATGCGATGCACAATGAACGTATTTGGCTTTTTTCTGTCTTTGCCGAAGAAAAGCTTTTAAACCATTGTATTTTCCGCTCATACTTGCTGCGCCGTCTAAACCAATTTCTCTAAATTTTATGATATCAAGTCCATTTTTTTTAAATTGCTTCATAGACTGTTCTTCCATTGCTCTGCCTGTACCTCCTTCGGCTTCAGTAAATCCAATAAAGTCCTCTCTTATTTCAATGCTTATAGGAATTCCTAATTCGTTTTTGTCTATATGAACGTATCGATATATTGTGGAGACTTGGTCAATCTCACTAATGTCTTATTTTGTATCAAGAATTAACGAAAAAAATGGTGTAGCAGTAACATCAGCTAATATATATTTCTTTATTTCAATTTCTATTAATGAAATAATTTGATCTTGAATTTTATGACTGAGATACTTTACGCTTCCTTTTGGTTTTTCTAAAAGTGTTGCTAATATGGGATCATATTTAGCCAAAAGNCTATCAAGCCACGTAGTTTGTTTAATTTTAATTCTATTACCAAACAGAGAACATGGTTGGCAATATGCAACTTGACGAATTATTGAATAACATAGCCATAATCTATTAGTTTTTGCTCCTGTAATTGACTCAACAGAATAATAATATTTTTCGTGAAATGTTGTTCATGAATTTTTATTTTTTGATACATCTGAATGTCTATAAAATGGTTCTTTAGGTTGGCATGGTCCATGAGTAACAATAAACTTTTTCTGCTAGTCAGATAATTTATTATCATAATTAAAATGACCGATATCAGTGGGATTGGGAAGTGTTAGAAGCTTAGTAAATATATCAATATTTGGAACATTATACGCGGGTATTTCTTGAGAAATAGTGTTAACCAGTTTACTCGAAAGATTAGCATTAGATGTTACATTTTGAGAAATATGTTCGATTTTGACTGGAGAGGACAGCGAAGGACATGGATGTGTTTCTTGTAAATTTTCGTTTACATTAGGATTTGAATAAGAAATTTCTACGGATACTTTCTTAAAAAATTTTGAAACTGATGGTAATAATTTAGTCTTACGATCTTCCTCTGCTTTATGTTTCCTCTTACTCGCTTCACTCTCAAATCTTTTTTTAACTGGATTAATTTTTAGGTATTATTAGTGAAGATTAAGTACGATCCAAAACCAAATTATACACTAAAACAATAGGTAATACAAATAATAATAATTTATTACTAAATTGTAAATGATAATAAAAATTAAATATAAAAAAAGTATATAGGTATAAAGTAATTTAGTAATAAAACATTAAATATTATTTTATTATATTTATTTGTATTTATTATTGTGTTATGCTAGCCAGCCTACGCACAGTGTAGATGACACATTTATGTCTAATAAAATATAACACATTATTATTAAAGTTATAATAGGTATACCTATAAATTAAATTTATAAGTATAACTTGATTTTTATTCTTATATAATTAATATTAAATTATTATATCATGACTAAAATACAATTTAAATAATACTTAATAAGACAAATAAAAACGTTAATGACTATTAAAACAACGATATCAAAAATAAACGGTAATATTTTAATTAGTTCATATTATGCATAATATGTGAAATAACTTGGACGATGGGGAGTGCATTTATCAATTATGCATATTTATATCTTTTAATTTTATAATATTAACGAAAAGCTAAACATAATATAGAGTAAATTACAATAACGTACAAGTTTGAAAACTGTAAGTTAAAATATTTAATAGGTATTAATCATATTAGGTATATAAAATATTAATAAAAAAAAACTATAATACTACTTACCTAAATGTTGTCAAATTAGCGTTCTCCAATAGTGAACAAATTTAATACAAAGAAAAATGGTTATACTGTGAAGTAATAAATAATAATCAATGTAGCAAAGGGAAAAACAGTAAAATAAAATTATTGTCATAATGAGTAGGCACGCATGTGGCACATAATATTATGACATATTATCATTGATATAGGTACTATACTACTATAGCATCGACGCGGTCATCGGAAATATATTTTATAAATAACATTTGAACCGGAAACAAGTACATATTCTATTATCGAAATATTAAATTACAAATATTAATGTATTATTATATTTATATAGGTATTAATATTGTATTTTATATTTTTATTTTGTTATATAATTTACAGTAAGTTATAAAATAAAGGGTATACCTAAATAATATATTTTATTTTTATACTATAAATTTTATAATTTCAATAATAACCATTCAGTGCAAAAACAATATTATCTTTATACAAATATTCGGCGAGGCCCTTTCACCGACGAGGCCCGTGGAAAATCCCACCTTTGTATATATGTAGTTCCGCCATTGGTTTGAATTATTAAAATCAACCGAACCAGCCGATGAAACTATTGAAACTATTATAAAGGAAAAGCAGTCAACTGTTGATCCAGTTCTCACTTACTCTAAACCACACCCTCCAATCTTTATACGAGGCGTAGCAGACTTCCCTGGTGTTTGCACAAAATTAATCGAATTAATCGGTGTCGATAACTTTATTTGCAAGTAAACGGTTGATCAATTAAAAATCCAAACCTCCAATCCCGGAGCATATAGAACACTAGTTCGCTACTTAAGAAATGAACAAGCTGAATTCCATATATTCCAGCTAAATGAAGATAAACCAATGCGCATAGTAATTCGCAACTTACACCCATCTACTTTAACGGAATTGATCAAAAGTGAGCTTGAACTTCGCCTATACGAAGTTAAACAAGTTACGCAGGTTATTCACAGAATCAGTAAAATACCCCTGCCATAATTTTTTGTCGACCTCGAGCCGACAGATCATTCAAATGAAATCTTTAAACTTGAATCCTAATTGCACACAAAAATTAAAATAGAAGAACCTCGTAAACCTAAAATTATCAGCCAATGTCAGAACTGTCAAGCTTATGGTCATACTAAAGCCTATTGCGGATATAGTCCTCGCTGTGTCCGGTGCGGTGATGACCACTCCTCATCTGCCTGTCCAAACTCACGACAAGACCCAATGCGATGCGCCCTCTGCACAGGTAACCACCCAGCAAACTACAGAGGATGTACAGTTTATACAAACCTCCAGCAACGTAAGAAATCCAATCTAAATAATCAAAAATTACATGTAAACTCTAGTTATAAGCCTAACCATGTACAAGATAGCCACCCATGTAATACCACTCCTTACAATCCTCCTCCTGACCAATCTCAAACGTATACTCGTGCAACTCAAGGTCAACATGTAAAATCTTATATTCCTCCGCCAACTCCTGATATTAATTCTTTAATGTCAAGCTTTGTAAGCGAGCTTAAGACTCTTATCAACCCATTAATCTCATTACTTACTCAAGTAATCTCAAGTTTATTGGCTAAAACAAATGAATAATTCTGCTATAAGTAAATCCCTCTTAGTTTTACAAAATGTACTATATGATAAACGTATTGACATTGCCCTAATCACAGAAACACATTTCACTAAATATACACATATCTTTATACCTGGATACCAGCTAATTAAAGCCAATCACCCTGATAATACGGCACATGGCAGTGTTGCAATATTTATTAAAAATTCAATCCACTTCCAACCCCTTACCAATTACTGTTTCGATTATATTCAATCGTGTACAATAACAGTTAAGTTAAATAACATACCCATTACTGTAGGTGCTTTTTATTCTCCTCCGCGCCACAATATATCAAATGCTACGTTCACAGATTACTTCAATTCAATTAAACATAATTTTTTCATAGGTAGCGACTTTAATGCTAAACACAATGCTTGGGATTGTCGTACAAATAACCCTCGTGGAATTTTCTTATATAATTTTGTCAACACAAATAATTTTAATGTACTTGCACCACCAGGCCCTACCTACTGGCCTTCTTCCCCAGCAAAAAAACCTGATATTTTAGATATATTTGTCACTAAAATTCCTAGTAATTTACACTGCCTAACTAATAACATATTAAATCTAAACTCTGATCATTCTTCTGTTATACTCAATGTGTCCGCCACTGTTTTTACACGAGTTCAACTACCTAGACTTTTTTCTCATTTTACTGACCGCCTTGAATTTCAAAATATCCTTAATCAATGAATTGATTTAAAAATTAAACTTAAGTCAAATCATGATATTGATGAAGCAGTAAACAACTTGACTACGCTAATACAATCAGCTGCTTGGGAAGCCACTAAGCCTAATAAAACACATAATTCTAAAAATAATTACCCAATAATATCTGATCAAATTCGCTGCCTAATAATAGAAAAACGAAGAACTAGAGCTAAATACCAAGTCACTAGGCTTCCTTCTCACAAATCAGCTTATAATAAACTCGCTAACTCACTGAAAAAGGCTTTGGCAAAATATAAATCATGTGAATTCGAACAAAAATTACACTCTCTATCTATCACTGATGGGAGTTTATGGAGGGAAACTAAACGGTTACTTAAATTTAAAACTGCCTCACCCCCACTGTTAAATACTGACAGCTCACTCGCCGTTTCAGATGCTGAAAAAGCAAAAGTATTCCGAGTCCATCTTTCTAAAACTTTTTATCCGCATGAGGACATCCATATTCCGCAACATATTATCGATGTTGAAAATTATTTACATTCTACATTACGAAGTGCTCGCCCAGAAAAATACTTTACACCTTATGAAGTTAAAAGTATGATCTCAAATTGTTCTCAAAAAAAATCTCCAGGGTTTGATCTAATAACAGCCAATGTTGCTAATTGCTTACCGAACAAAGCCTTCATACTGCTTACTTATATTTACAATGCTGTATTGAGACTCTCATACTTCCCCACTCTCTGGAAGTTTTCGCAAATAATTATGTTTGATAAGCCGGATAAACCTCCTGACCTACCTACATCTTATAGACCTATAAGTCTATTGCCATACTTCTCAAAAATTTGCGAAAGACTAATTCTCAAACGTTTCTATACGCACATAATATCAAAAAATATACTCCCATTCTCACAATTTGGCTTTAGAGCCAAACACAGCACCGTACACCAGGTCCATAGAGTAATTGATGCAATCTCTACCTCTCTTGAAAACAAATGCTATTGTACTTGTGCATTTTTAGACATTTCCCAGGCATTTGACAAAGTCTGGCATGAAGGTCTTCTATTTAAACTTCGTAAATTTCTTCCCCCTACACTATTTTTACTAATGGAGTCATATCTCACAGACCGACATTTTCAAGTACGTTAAGGTTCCGCCACCTCAAATATAGCCACAATTAGTGCAGGAGTACCCCAAGGAGGTGTACTTTCTCCTATCTTATTTAATATTTATGCTGTCGATCAACCTTCTGCACAAAATACTATTGCTGCCAATTATGCTGACGATAAAGTCATACTATCAGTACATAATGACCCACTAATTGCTTCAAAAAATTTACAATCCCACCTAAATCTACTCTCAGAATGGTATGCCAAATGGAAAATCAAATTAAACAACAACAAATCCATTCACACAACTTTTACCCTAAGACACGGACTTTGCCCTAACGTAACTGTGAATAATTTACCTATCCCTGCTCTTGTCACTGTTAAATACTTAGGATTAATCCTCGATAAAAGACTAACTTGGCAAAATCATATAAGAAAAAAAAGATTAATACTTAATGCTCGCTCCCGCTCTCTAAAAGTATTACTTTCAAAAAATAAATTCTCATCTTTAAAAACAAAACTTCAAATATACAAGTCTATTCTGAAACCCATATGGACGTACGGGAACCAACTATGGGGATCGGCAAAAAAATCTAATTTAAATAAAATTCAGGCCTTCCAGAATATTACTCTTCGTAAAATCACAATGCCCCACCCTTCGTCTCTAACATGACCCTCCACAAAGACCTAGGTCTAAAAACAGTGGAAGAAGAAGCTGCTATTTTCTATAAGCGATTTTATAATAAATTAGAAAACCACGAAAATCCTCTAATAAAAGATCTACATATCCCGTCACTTCCTGGAAATCCCCGTAGCAGGCTGAAAAGGAAATGGTGTAGGGATCACCTAACTTAATCCTAACAAGCTATAATTAATCACATAATAAACAAGCAAGTGCTACTAATGGGTGGCTTCTTATTCACGTAACCCCATAATGATATTATAGCTAGGATATTTCATTTAAAAGTTAAGACGTTAATGAAATTGTTAACAAAAGGGAATTTATTTGGGGAAGTGCAATGTTTTATGTATTCAGTCGAATGGCAAAAACGTGGTTTACCACACATACATATTTTGTTATGGCTAAAACAGCGCATTTATCCAGATAAATTAGATTGTATCATTAGTACGGAAATACCTGATCCTGAAAAAGATTCTCTCCTTTACGGTATTATCAAAGCCAATATGATCCATGGGCCTTGCGGTAATTCAAACAATAGATCACCCTGTATGGAGTCAGATAGCTGTAGCAAGAAGTATTCTAGACCTTTCATTCAAGAAACACAGACAGGAGACAACGGTTATCCAAAGTATAGGCAAAGAGCTTCAGAAAATGGTGGTTTTACTGTTGAAATAAATGGTAAGACACTTGATAATCATTGGGTAGTACCGAATAACCCAGTGCTTTCACGTACATTTGGTGCTCATATTAATGTAGAGTACTGTAACTCTGTAAAATCTATAAAATACATTTGTAAATATATTACAAAAGGAAGTGATCAAGCAGCATTTGGTTTTGAAAATGATAATAATGAAGTCAAGCTTTATGAAAGTGGTCGATATATTAGCAGCTCTGAGGCCGTATGGAGAATTCTGGCTTTTCCTATCCACGAGAGATTTCCAACAGTCTTCCATCTTTCTGTGTATTTAGAAAATGGCCAGCGTGTTTATTTCAACCCTAATGACTCCAGTCATTTAACAAACATGATTAACAATCCACCAAAAACTACTCTTTTAGCATTTTTCGACTTATGTAAAACAGATGATTTTGCAAAAACACTTCTTTATGTTGATGTTCTCTCTTACAATGTATGGAAAAATAATAGATTTGAGAGAAGAAAACGTGGAATTAACGTAAATAGTTGGCCGGGAATAAAAAGAGATCAGGCTCTGAGTAGAGTATATACCATTCACTCAAATAATACCGAGTATTACTATCTTCGCCTTTTACTTCATGAAATCCGAGGTCCTACATCTTTTTTGAAATTGAAAACTGTTAACGGCACAATTCAACCTACTTATTAGGTAGCGTGTAAGGCTCTAGGCTTACTGGAAGACGAAAGGCACTGGGATACAACTATGGAAGAAGCTGTGCTTTGTGGTTCTCCATTTAAATTACGGGAACTTTTTGCAATTATGTTGATATTTTGTCAATTGTCAGATGCTTTAAGTCTTTGGGAAAAATACAAGGACAATCTTTCAGAAGATATACAACATCGAGTGGAACTGGATATACAACACGAGAATGTGAATTCAATTATTAATGAAGTATACAATAAATGCTTAGTTACTCTTGAAGATACAGTTCTATCTCTGGGAGGTAAATTTTTGCCAAAAAACATTACCCGTTATACCTAGGGGTACAAGGGCTGATGAAGTAAAGTCATATCTAAAAGCTTCGTATTTGTAGCCACATATCCAGAAAGTTGCACTTCATAAAAATATGAGGGTTCATGTGAAAGGTGACACATCTGCTGGGATTTTCACTGAGATGTTACTTAAAATAGGAGACGGAAATTTCCCTTCATTGGAAGGTGAGATCACTATTTCCTCAAATCTGTGTACAGTTGTTAGCTCTTTATTAGAACTAACTTCCAGAATTTACCCAGATATAATAAATATCAAGATGAAACCCATCGAATGGTTGTGCGAGCGAGCCATCTTAACTCCAAAGAACGACAAGGCAGCCGAAATCAATGAAATTCTACTAAAGGCATTTAAGAACCATACATAAACTGGGGCGCGTATTAGATGACGCGTTAATATTCTGAGGATTTTTGAATTTGACTCATACCTGCCGATGCAAATATCAATTAATATAAATAAATGTACCTACACGTTTATCGTACGCAGTTTTTGAACACATATGTTGCAGTGAAATTTGTTTAACCAGTTATTTTTTCCCGATAATTTCAAAATCAATTTGGAAAACTGAAAAATCCGCACATAATTCAGACAATGGATAGTTTGCATTGAGTGGAAATTATTATGTTATGCATTTATAGGCAATGTAATAATAAAATCGGTTTAACAGTCTCAATATAATGTTCGGATACTGAGAGGTCGGATAATCGAGCTCTACTCTACT